GTTAAGTTCCTTAGCCATGGCTGCTTATATGACGGTCCTGGTTTCCACAATATTATCGACTCTTTCAACTACAGATCGGCGAGAGCGAGGTGCATCTTTCAGAATTTCCAGAACGGAAGCGGGCGAACCATTGTTGTGCTACACGAACTGATACAGCATCGTCTTCATTAGCTTCACAAATTTCATTGGTGATTTGCGCGGTATTCTCCCTTTTTTTATACAAAAATTTCAAATTTTTCATAAAGCGGATTTCTTCATTATTTTCACTCACTTTTGAACAGCTGTAACTTTTTTTCAACTTCTCCGAACTCAATTTCTTAGTTAAATGAGTCTTAAATCTCATCTTACCAACACTATGTGATATGACACAATGTGATTGGTAGCATTGGAGTTATACGACTGCAACATCTATTAACACAATACGAWAAGACTTTTTCGACTATCCAGTATATAAAATTGCTTGGATTCCGATGCTCTAGTGGACGTTTTGCAACTTAACGTATTTCTCTTACTTTGTTTCCTGGAAGTTTCAAGAGTATGAACTGTGCGGTTCGGTAGCTGACTGTGTTGAGCATGAGAAGAATTTTAAATATGTTTAACCATATTGGACATCAATATTGCACAAAACTAGTACTAGAACTCCACATATATTGTATGTGTATACTTAGGTATTGCTCTCAACCTAGCGTAACGAAAATTGCATACAAGCAGGAATATCAAAAACTTTGCCTAAATGCCATAAATAAAACTAATATTTGCTTCTTAGAAGCAATTAGCATTGAAATTTCGAAATCTAAAACCACAAATCAAAATCAAAAGGCATTTAAATTTTTTTTTTTGGCGCAAAATTATTTTGCCACAAACAAGTATTTGTCTGCTTCAAAGAAATGCATAATAATAATTGCTAATGCGTCAAATTTAAGCTCAAAGTAAATAAATATTTGCGCCAAAAGGCTTTTGTAAGTATGTGTGCACATGAAGCATATTTTTGCGCAATTKAAATAAAAGACAAAATATTTAATATTGTTGTGCAATCTCGTTATGGGCATTATATTTTAGAAGCTGAGAAAACCTTTGAAGAATCGTTGCAACGCTTTTTAATCGTCCTAATGAGTCGCCCGACATTCGCAATTAAACAAATATTTCCGTTTGAGGCAACAAACAAGTGTGTTTGTTGGCAAATATTTTCGAGACATAATCGATCGAGCCATTGAAAACGGTCAACTGCAACAACAACTAAGCAAACAATACGGCAAAGCAACTTTCGCAATTACATAAGCACTTAAGTATACAGCTAAGTATGTAAGCGTATTTGCTTATGTGCATTTGCTTATGCTAGCCAACTGATTAAGCATTAACGTAACGGTATATCTATATAAATAAAATAATATTTTTATTGGTGTGCAAGTGTTTGTTTATTAGGGTGAGTCAAAACGCTTTTTTTTTAATTTTTCTTCTTTAGATGAAAATATCTTTCGAAATGAAGAATGAACAAGAAAACACAAAACTTTTTAATATCTTTCTCAAATTTTCAAATATTCCTAACGAGCAMTTGTTACCGATTGTTTAGTTTGTATGRCAGCAATACWTAWGTTATATTAATTYGATCTGAACAATTTCTTCKAATATTGCATCATTGCCTTAGATAATTACACATGCCAAATTTCATGAAAATATCTCGTCAAATCAAAAAGCTTTCTATACAAGCACCTGATACCGTTTGTTCAGTTTGTATGCCAGCCATATGCGATAGTAATCCGATCTGAACAATTTCTTCGCAKATTGTAGCCTTGTCCTGACTAATAATCCATGCCTAATTTCAAGAAGATATCTTGTCAAATAAAAAGTTTCCCACACAAGCTCTTAAGTCCAATCGATTAGCTTGTATTAGATATAGCTATAGTAGTCCGATATTGGCAGTTCCGACAAATGAGTAGCTTCTTGAGATGAAATGCAAAATTTCAGATCGATAATTAAAAAATGAGCGAGTAGTTCGCATATATACGGGCTAACAGACGGACGCACAAGGCTCGCCCTGCCGATCATCTATATATACAACACATCTATTTTTTACAGAACCTCCGACTTTTCCTTCTATTTCTGTCTTTACAAACCTTGTGGCAAGTTTAATATAACCTTTGCGGGGTATACAAATAGAAGTTTTCTTTTGGCCCGCCCTAATGAAGTTATTATGTAGAATTTTATGTCCATATCTGTGTATTTGCTTAGCTGTAGTAGTTTGCCGAGCACTTGTGGGTGCAATACACTGACTAGCCGTACAATATTTACCGTCTGCWGCAAATTCTGATGCACGCACGCACACACACGCACATACATATACGCATACAATCCAATCAAGTGTCGCTCACCCGTCCGCTGCGTCTAAAATTCGTTAAGTCTATACAATAAATGCATTTGTTTACGCACAATATTGTTATATCCTGTCAGGTGAAGTGTATTGTAAGCGCATACTCACACTCACACTCACATGTACGCACACGCACACGCCTGAAATCGTGCATTTCCGCTGGTGCATAGCAGTCGCTAATAGGCGACTAACTCGAGCTGTGCGCCGCTGGGCGTGGGTTAAAGCAACATAATAGTATTGCAGAGGCATAAATCTACAATGCATCCGTGTGTGTTTGTATGTGTGTGTGTTAATGCTGTTAGCTCATTTATACTGTATATATATACATACATATACATATATATATGGGTGCGTTTGTGCCATGTTTTAGGCCTATTAACGTTTATTGCCATTTGGTTGGATGGCGAATTGATTATGCGCTGCGATTATACCGTTATGCAGCCYTGGAGTGTTGGCACTGCACTTTAATTGTCGGCATACAAAATAAAACAACAACGATGTGCCTAAAATGCAGCAACAAGCTTGGCATTCGTGTGCACTCAGCCGTTTCATTTTCAATCGATGGCAGCGAGGTTAGGCGAGATTTATGCGGCGGTTTAAGGTTGAGGCTTTATTTAAACGCTTATGATTTGATTTTCAAAAGGAAAACTGATTTTAATGCGTTGGGTGATTTATGGAATTGGCTGGCTATGAAATTTGTGGTCATAAGGCGCTATTTGGTTGCTGGCTTTCGTTGAAAAAACATGCCTACCAAAGTACAGAGATATTTATATTTATTCGTATGACTAAATTTGTTTAATTGCAAATCTAATACATTTTCTTTTTTTTTTTTTGTTAGGTATCAACTGTTTCTACAAGTGAAGCAAGAYGTCTTACAAGGCAGATTACCGGTCGCATTCGAGTTGGCTGCAGAGTTGGGAGCATTCGTCGTGCAATGTGAGTAAAATTGTTTGTTAAATTATTTAGCTGAATTTTCAAGTAAAAATTACTTATAAATTAACAAAACAATTTTTTATTTGCTGAAAAAAAAAAATTGTGTAAAACAATTTTCTTTACACAACGATAACATTTTTTATAAATCGGTCAAATATTTTTAGGAATATATACATACTTTTTCGAAGATCCATTTAAGTCACTAATGACCTATATATCCCAATTAGTAACGGTGTTTGCAATAAATTCAACTTGTAAATTTGAAGGCAAATTCGAAACAGAAATTCTCGAATCGACTGAAGCCGAAACGTGCTTATTTCACMAAATATTTATTTTCGCAAATTGTTAAAAAAATTTTTAATTTTATCCTTTAAAAATAAATGGTGATCCATTGCGAAATTC